TTAGAACTTTCTCTCCTGTCAGAGCAGTTGATGCGCCTCCCTGATTGATGTGTAATCCGTGTTGGTGGCGTTCCTGATGAGCCAGAAGCAGGTGGTTGTGACAGATTCCTCTGTACGTAGTCTTGGCCCACCATGCTCTTTGAGTAAAGCTCTAGGTTCGAGTGAAATCTAGAAAGTGGCTCTGGGCATACCACTTGGCCAAGATCACTCCAGGAAACGTGGCCCAGTGTCAAGAGCCCCCAAGTCTTTGACCTCTGTGAGGACATTTGGCATGGAAACCACGTCCTCTGCAGTCCCCCAGGTGTGTCTGATGAGCCAAGACAATTACAGTTAAATCAGTTCTTAGCAGATTCAGGGGGTACAGTGTCAGAAGTAGTGTTCCTCTCACACGGAGTGTCGGGCTTTCAGCTTTGCCCTTTGCTGGGTTTTGTTCACTTTGATGAATGACTTTAATGACCATGACTGAAAATGGCTGTTACCATCAACATGGCAGCATTGCGGCAGACCTCTAGTTTTTCTGGAAACTTTTGTGAATTCTTGAGCCACACGTAGGTGACTGTTTGTCTGTCTTGGAAATCGACTTCTGACAGACAGTGAACACTCTGCTTAACTTCCATTTCGCTTACTCCCGGAAGTGAGATTAGCGTGTGATACGGACTCGTAGATGAAGCACTCCCAATTTTAAAGCCAGGTAACGTTAAGAACCATTATTTGGGGCGCCTGGGTGGCGCAGTCGGTTAAGCGTCCGACTTCAGCCAGGTCACGATCTCGCGGTCCGGGAGTTCGAGCCCCGCGTCGGGCTCTGGGCTGATGGCTCAGAGCCTGGAGCCTGTTTCCGATTCTGTGTCTCCCTCTCTCTCTGCCCCTCCCCCGTTCATGCTCTGTCTCTCTCTGTCCCAAAAATAAAAATAAAAATAAAAAATAAAAAAAGAACCATTATTTGGCCAAGCCTGCAGTCTTTTTTTTTTTTTTTTTTTTTTTTTTTTTTTTTTTTTTTTTTTTTTTTTTTTTTTGTCGTCCTCCCACCTCATTGGCCCAGTGTGATTTGTGCGGTTCATGTGTCATCCATTACCGTTGGGTAGCATAAGCATATCACGTAGAGGATTAGAGGAAAGGGATTTTGTGCTTAGGAAATAATATGAAGATTTACTTTGTGATTTTAAGCTGCATGATAGCTTCATATTTTAAGAGCTCTCATTTGGTTATGTAAGCAGGCATGCCCCAGAGTTTTGGAAAATGGGGCTCTGGCTCCTTCTCACCAGCCAGCCTGTGCTCATTTGAGCAAAGGCTTAAGTACCTAGGGTCCAGCTCCAGGACCAACCATGGGGTGGGAGAAAATTGCCATGATGTGTGTCCACTTCCTGTCTGCCAAGGTCAGGCAAACACGTATCAGATGCATACTGTGTGACAGGTACTGCCTTATCCCTGACTTGCCTCGATTCCCCCTCGCTCCATACAGCATGGTGAGATTGAACACCTTCAGGATTCTGAATAAAAATAAAAACAGCTCCTCATTTTTAGCCGGGGGAAACTTTTCCCCTCTCCACATAAACCTGATAAGTACTCTGGTGTTACTGAGCCAATCTGTTCCTCGTTCTTCAGCTACCCCAGCAAGACTTCTCAAATGTTTGCATTATATTGTCTTACAGAATGTGCATTACCCGGTTTAGTCTGGAACTTGAAACCAAAGGTCAAGGCCCACCGTTCATCATTTTGGAATCTCTGGCCCTTGCTCAGCTTTCTGGGCTGGCCTTTCTCAGACCAGTGCTGTGTGCAGCCAGGGTCTGGGAATATAGGCTCTTCTTCCCTGCCCTCTTGGAGTGGGGGGTGAGGTAGGAGGAGGGGGGTAACTGGGCTTTCTGTTCCTGCTTCTGGGCACATTGTTTCTTCTTTGAAGATTATCCATTCTGAATCTTGAGTATTTGAACAGGCCTTGCAGGGTCCTTATGGTTCAGATGGCTCCCATGTGACCCTTCACCTCCTGTTGGGTGAACCCACGCATTTCTAGGTATGACTTTCACGTAAGGTAGGCTAGGAAGAAGTAATTTGGGAGACAGCTGGGGCTCTTTGCTACCCCTGCAGATTACACCATGTAGCGAGGGCCTGGAACTTCTTGGGGTAAAATTTGATAGGCTTTTTGAGGCACAAAACAGAAATAAAATAATTGTGGGTTGAGATTGATAAGTGCATTGAAAGGTACATGGGGATTGAAAGGACAGATTTAAAAAAAAATTCAAATGGATTTGATAAATACAGGTTTTCCAAAGTGTTCACCTGAATGTAGAGATGGTTTAAAAAAAAAAACCCAAACCCACAGTGTTCTCATTTTCCTTTCAAAACACCATATCCATAATAAACCATGATGAGGAAATAATGCTCCTGTGACCCTTTTCCCTTCGTAATTTATCTTGCTAATTCCAGTGAGCGAGCGATGACTTTGTGCCTGGGGAGAGCCAGCAGATGAGATTAATTTGTGCCATCACAGCCTTGCTTTATTATCTACCCTTGGAGAGGGTTGGGGAGATGCTTTTAGCAGAAACACTGTGAAAAAGCTTCTCTGAGGGTTTGGAGGAGCTAAGTGCTGCCTTTGACAGTGTCTTGGCACTGCTGGGGCAGCCTGGGAACTCGTTGTCACTTCTCTGTCCCCTCCTGCCATCCTGGTGGGCAGGTGCAGTGGCCTGGCAGGCAGCCAAGGAGAAGCCTTTGCTCGGGCATCTCTGCTTCTAAATTAATTTTTATTAAGTTTATTTTGAGAGAGTGTGCATGTGTGAGAGAGAGCAAAGGAGGTGCGGGTGGGGGAATCCCAAGCAGGCTCCACACTGTCAGCGTGGAGCCCGATGTGGGACTCAAACTCTCAAAATGTGACATCATGATCTGAGCTGAAATCAAGAGCCAGGCTTTTGACTGATCAAGCCACCCAGGTGCCCCGGCATTTCTGCTTCTAAGAGGATGCTTTCAAGACCTCCTTGTCACCTTCCTATGGATGGTCCTTTCCTACTGCCACCTCTGCTTACTTATGTCTGGCCTACCCCCCCCCTTTTTTTTAATTGTTATTTTTAATAAGGACTTTTATAGTGACATTGTATAACAACCATCTTAAAACTATTTTAAAAGAAAACAGCCCTCCCTTATCCACTGCTGTGACAGGGCATACCCACATCTTCCTCCTCTGGCTTATTTTATTTTTATTTTTAAGTAGGCTTCATACCCAGTGCAGGGCTCAAACTCATGACCCTGAGATCAAGAGTTGGTTGCCTAACCAATGGAGCCATCCAGATGCCCCTTGGTTACTTTATATATATAAAATACACACATACATATACACATATGTAATACATATACTTTAAATGTATGTATCATCCTTGCACTCCTTTTTTCTGCCACCCATGTATAAAAATCTTGGCATCACCTCCTGTCTTCTCCTGTCAACAGCTAGAACACAGTGGAAGGAAAGGGGAGACCATAGTTCCTGTTGTGTAAAATGTACATGGTGACCCATGTTAAGTAGTGTTGAGGATTCAGTTACATGTTGCATGTGCAAGGACCCATCAAAGTGACACATAACAGGATGCTCAGTAGTGTCTGGGGTTGGTTGGCAAGTCTGGTCGGTTCTTCTGCAATTTCTCTGGCATCTATTACTTCTATTTCTCAGCAGACTGAAGGATGACAGTTACTTCATCCTTAGATTATATAAGAGGCTTCTAATTGGGCCTATTGGCCCAAATCTGATCCATTAAATTCTTCCTATTGGCCACCATTTGCCCTCTAAAAGCACTGTTTTTGTCCGTGTTACTCTTGTTCAAACCTTTCAGTGGCTACCAAAGCTTACCAAAAACATTCTGAATGTCTTAATGGCCACTCGAGGCCCTCTATTACTTTCTTAATACTGGGCTTGGTGCTTGTTCTCCCCTTAGGATCTCCGCTGTCTGCGAACCTGCCATTTTCTCCCTCTCACAGAAACAACTGACCCTCTTCGGTTGGCTTTGTCTATGGCCACGTGTTCAGGGAATTGTGGTATCTTTGGGGGAAGAAAAAAAGAGCCCAGAATCTGGGGAGCTCTAGCCTTCCTTCTGCAGCAAAGACTTAAGGCTTACCCAGTATTTCTGAGGGTATACTTTTTAGCATGTTGTTCAGCAAAGAACAGTGGAGTACTAGACTTGAAGCTTTGGAGGAAAGACTACCTAAGTCATTTACTTATTTTGTATCCTCCACGTTATGCTATCCATAAAAATCTCTTAGGGAATTATTTCTGTAACAATTCTTTATCTGTCCTCAGTATTTAGCAAAACCATGTTGAACTTGGAAAACATTTGCTGTGTAGTAGATTTGCAGGGACTCCCCACAACTCCAAGGGGCATCTGGTTACATAACAACTGGTGATAGCATTTGTGGCCAGCAGTCATGTATAAGAAGGTGTGTGTGAAGGTGTTGGCCTTTTTTCCCCCACACCCCCTCTTCATTTCAAAGGGTTGTTTTCTGTAGATTGAGTTTGTGGTCTTGAGTTCAGAATTCTGAGGAAGTTCTACAACCCACAGATGGAGATACCGTATATATAATCTGCTATTACCTTTTTAAATTTTACCCACAGGGTGTCATGTGTTTAGACACTTATATGCATGCATTGTGTATTAGTATAGGACAGTGCAAAGTACCTGAGACTGATTCATGGTTTATACCTTGGGAAATTGTCTTAGAACCTCTGGCCCTCTCCTTCTCCCTCTCTCTCTCTCTCTCTCTCTCTCTCTCTCTCTCAACTTTAGAAAATAGAAACTAGGCTTAAGGTCTCATTAAGCCCTGAATCCTGGCATTTTCTGGTTCTACGATATATAAGTCTGATTGATACCAAATATTGCTGAGTCCTGAAAAAAATGCCTTCCGATTGCTGTTTAAGATTCTGTCTGTTGTGAAATGAAATTGACTTCTAACAGCATGTAGCCCTGTTTGGAAACCAAAGTTTGTCTGTTTAATTACTAAGTTTAGTTTTCTTTTCTTTCCACCAGTTTGCTGTTTTGTGGTTCACAAGAGGTGCCATGAATTTGTCACTTTTTCTTGTCCTGGTGCGGATAAGGGACCGGACACTGACGTAAGTAGTCTGAAAACTGTTATTTGACGTTAATGCAGATGTTTGACTTCAACTTCTTCTTTTAATGCCTGTACAACTGTTGCTTTGGCACACGTTCTTCATGGGAAGACTTGTCAATGGGCCCTGTACAACTTGGGCTCCTACCAGTGAACAGATACAAAGCCCTTTTGAGCCCTGGCAGGGTCGAAGGAGAGTTTGTTAGCTTGTATTCTTCCACTCTGGGCGACCACGTGGACCAACTCCACCAAGTTTATAGTAAGAGCTTTCACTAACGCAGTGTGCTGCTTTTCTGAAGACGTTGACAAATTTTACAACGTAAACACGAATCCCCTTTTACGGTTCACCCTAACGGTTTATTGACTAAAAGGGCCATCTTTGCTTTTAGCCGATGTGACATCTTCTTTCTAGTTTGCTTCCTGAGATCCTTGCTGCCTTTTCATTACGTGTTATAAATGCTGCTGTCGATTTAAATAATTTAGCATCTGCTCCACTGAACAACCGATCTCTGAAGCTGCCCATGTGTGAACACATAATTTTATTTGTGCCCTAATTCTGCTGCCTCTAGTGAGCATCTCTCTTGCTTACATCTCGTGTTTACTGAAAAATGGGATCACCAGAGGAGAGTGGGAGCCAGGAGGCATGGGAAACACCAGTATCTAAAATATATTGGGTGGAAAATTGGGCTGTTACATGGAAAATATTTCAGCAACAAAAAGTTGCAGGGGAGGCCTGGAAGAGGAGACCTTTCTATTATTCCTACCTTTGGCTCTTCTTCCTATCAGGAAACACAGATCTCAAAACAGCTTTGTCAGCGCGGGCAGGGCTGAATTCTTCCCTTTTCTGAAGAGGGTGTACTCCTGGTAAGCTCTGGGATTCCGATCTGCCTTATTTTGGCACAGGTATCAAAGGAACTTCCATTGCGTTTCTGCTAAGATGCCGGAGGAAGCTGCACCGAGCAGGAGCCGTAGGCTCTGAGCTGCTACTGGTCTGCAGAGGCTCTGAATGTGGGAGCCAGAGAGCCTCAGAGATAACCCTGTTTTATATCTTTATAGACTGGAAAGCCCACATCCGTGGGTGGCCCACCTACATACAAAAAAACTAGTGTGCTCCACCCCACCCTTTCACTTTTCTTTCTTTCTGGAGTATTGCCTCCATTCGGGACACATGGAGAGGAAGAGTACCAGCTTTCCTGAAAGTTGCCCTCAAGCATCCCATGGTATTTCTTTGACCTCCTTGCTCATTATTCTCAGTCCATCCTTCTTTTCTCCCATTTTGGCTCCAGCAAGAATGGTTGTGTGTGTGTGTGTGTGTCCTGCCCACAGAGGAATAGTTTTTGTCTGACTCCTTCCCTTCACTCTGCCCTCCTTCCGCTTCTTCATTCTTCTGGTTTAAGTACTCTTAATAAGGGTAGAGGCTGTCGTCTGAGTGTGTTACCTGAGGGATCTCCTCTAGGTGGTCAGAGGCTTTCCCGAGGAAATGGCATTTAAACCGACCTTCAGGAGCAAGTGGAGATCATCAGACACCAGGGAACCTGTGTGCATGCACGTTGGGGCATAAAGGAGCCCCGTGGAAGACTACCTCAGACAAAGGGAAAAGCAAGTGAGGAAGCCCTGGAGTGTTCAGTGTATATGAGAAGAAGAGCGAGCTGGTCGTCAGATGTGTAGTTAAGGATTTTGAACGCAATGTTAGGACTGGTAGGGATCCAGAGGACGGGTTTAAACTAGGACTGGTGTGATTCTGTTTGCATGTCCCAAAGGTTTCTTTGCTTTCCTTATAGGAAATATCGACAGTGGAAATGGGTTTGATGTACGGGTGAGGATGGGGAAGTATGAAAGCTTGAAGAGTAGCACGGATGGCAAGGTGAAAGGTCGGGGTAGGTGGAGACAGTGAGGCTGGACAGGGTAAACTCACCGTGTATTTAGGAGCTGGGCCACAGCTCTTGGCCGCTGGAGGATTGGGGAGGTGGAAATGGAGAGAGAGAGACTCTCTGGCCTCTTGGCCAAACCTATGGATGGAGGCTATCGAGGCTGTGGAGGGAGAATGTGTTCAGAAGTATGGGACAGGGCTGATCACGGGCTTCTCTTTGGACAAGTTCGGTTTGGGAAGTCTGACGTGGAGAACACCGTTATCTGTGAATGCAGGTGTGGAGTTGGGAAGCAGAGTGTGTTTAGAAGATAAAGATTCCTCTGTTTGGTTGTTATAAGCTTTGGGTGTGCAACATCTTGCTGAGAGACGGAGGTAAAGAATAAGGAGAAGATAGATGAGGGCCCAGAAAAGAGCCCTGAGGAGGCTCCAGTGGATTGGATGGGAGAGGAAGGGGGCTGGGAAGGTCCTACAGGCGCTGTAGGTCAGCTCCCTGATTACGTCTGATTTTATGGGTTCTGTAAGCTTTTGGTATTATACATAGATATGTCATATACATGCAAGTTTGTACAGGACTGTCCTGTTTACACGAGGAAGCCTTGGTTTATGCGTGCTACAGCTTAATGTCCATTAGTTACTTTTAGCAGCCCCTTTCATGCCCAAAATTCTTACCCTGTTTTGATGATCATTATGTTCCCCCTGCCCTGTCCCTTAGTCCTTGAATCCCCAGCCAGGCAGAAAGCCTTAGTGATGGTCCGCTGGTTGTGAAATACAGTGGGAGGGACACTTGTGATCTGATGCGTTAGTCTGAGTTCTGTCCCTACTCTGTGTTGTGTTACCCACTGTGCATGCTCAGCCTCACATTTTAATATCCGATCTGTGAAAGTGAAGATAAGAGATGTTTCTTTTTTTTTTTTTTTTTTTTTTTTTTTTTTAATATATGAGAGGAAAGAAGTACAGCCTGTGCATTCTCCTCCCAGGAGAAAATTTGCCTTTTGGTTGTTGGCCCTGAGAGGCCAATCATGAGGGCTTTGTACAGCCAGGACACAGGACCCTGTGTGCAGGGCAGTGTTTATTGTCCAAATTCGCAAGATGCCCAAATTGGAACTGCACCAAGGAGGTAGCTGGAAAAGCATGAAGGTGTCAGGACAGAGCTGAGATGAGAAAGGATGTTTTTCTTATTTTATCTTTCAGAATGTTTGAAAGTGCTAGAATTCTAGAGCTGGAAGGGGCGTGGAAAGACTTGTTTAGGTTAACCTTATTTTATAGATGGGGAGACTGAAGCATATAGAAGAAAGGCATAAATGATCTGGGGGGCTTTGTGACGTGTTGCCCCTCAGTGTCCAGCGGGCTAGTGGTTGATGCAACAGCCGTGTAGAGGAAAGACGGGGGGCAGGGCATGGTCCGGAGAAGTTGCTAGCTCGTGCCTTGGTGTTAATCGTTCAAAGTTCTGCTCACACATTTAGCAAAGTGCTAAAGGGCATGAAAAGAGTTAAAGGAATGGAGGGATCAGGAAACACAAAATGCAAGCTACAAGAAAAAAAGAGCATTTCATCCCGCCACCCGCCCCCCCCCCCCCCCGATTTTAAAAGTTTATTTTGCATTCAACATCTGTGTTGTCCATGACGAAGTCTCAAGATTCATACAGTTCATGTGCTGCTGGCTGATGCCAGCTCCGAGGACGTCAGGGCACTCCCCCACAGGGACAAAGTTGACGGACCCTGTGAAGTACACCAGCACTGTCCCTGGTCTTTCCATCCTCAAGATAGACCCCTGAAAAATGAAAGAGCAGTGTCCAGATCCCAGTAACCAGATGGTAATAAACATTCTTGGGAACACAGATCATCTTCAGGCCTCAAGGAGCAGGCTTGTCGAAAGGATGCAGAAGTTACAGGGAAACTCGGGGAGGAGAAGAGGGTATCTGGGTTCCGTAGAGAGCCAGCCCCAAACATGTCAGGCCGTTCTCAGCCCTCCCCCACCTCTGGATGGGCGATGTTGTGTTGCCAGACATTCCCTGCCAACATGTCTGGAGATAAAAGCCACGTGTTCCTTGGAAATGCAAGCTGGTGCAGCCACTCCAGAAAACAGTATGGAGGTTCATCAAAAAACTAAAAATAGAACTACCCTACCACCCAGCAATTGCACTACTAGGCATTTATCCACGGGATACAGGTATGCTGCTTCGGAGGGGCACATGCACCCCCCATGTTTATAGCAGCACTGTTGACAATAGCCAAAGTATGGAAAGAGCCCAAATGTCCATCAATGGATGAATGAATAAAGAAGATGTGGTATATATATACAATGGAGTATTACTCGACAGTCAAAGAGAATGAAATCTTGCCATTTGCAACTACATGGATGGAACTGGAGGGTGGTATTATGCTAAGCGAAATTAGAGAAAGACAAGAACCATGACTTCACTCATATGAGGAATTTAAGAGACAAAACAGATGAACATAAGGGAAGCAAAACAATAAAATGGGACAAAACATTCCTAAATATGGAGAATAAACTGAGAGTTACTGGAGGGGGAGGGAGGGAGTTGTGGAAGGGGGGATGGGCTAAAGGGGTAAGGGGCATTAAGGAATCTACTCCTGAAATCATTCTCACTATATGCAAATTCGGATGTAAATTTTAAAAAATTTAAAAAATAGATTAGCTAGGGAAGAGGCTTTCCAATACTTTTGGTGGCAACCAAAGTAAGAAATGCGTTTTACATCTGCGTGCGCACACACATGCAATCACACATGTACATAATTGAAATAAAACTTTCATTAAGCAAAACAAAACACGTGTTCCTGAGATTGAAGGGCAACCTGCTGTGCACCGAGGAAGGGGGAGAGAAGGCAAGACTGGGCATTGGAAAGGCACCTGGGGTTGGTACGGCATCTGTGCTCCCAGGTGTGTGGCCTCAGAAGACAGCCTGAAGCTCTGCCCAGCACACCTGTCCCCATCCGAGATTGTGTAAGACCACAAAGAAGCAACATGAAAATGGCCCATGTGGAGAAACAGCTGACTTCCCTTTCATCACCTCCCTCTCGACCTCCCCAGTTAAGACATGAACTGGGACATGGACAAGGACAGGAAGGACTGTTACCTTGTTGGTTGTGGGGTGGGGAGTGTGATTTTGGGCA